AAAACAAGACTTTCTTGAAGAACACATGAATGTCATTTTCTCTTTCTAAAATCGAGCTTCAAAACGATGCATGGCTTACAAATCATTTTCAATCATGCAATGCAATAACATAAACATAAAGAACATCACGAGTAGATCAAGAATCTAACCTTAGAACGCGGATCTAACGGTTGGATCTCTAGAAATCAAGCTTGAAGATCTACTCTCTCTCAAGAACTCTTCTCCCTCTTCTAGAGCTTCTCTCTCTACTCTTCAAAACAATATACAACAAATGATGGGTTTCTCTCTCTGCCGGCTGACTTAACTCTCAGCTCGGACACGTGGCAACGGTTGGTTGGTTCTCTTCAAAAAGGTGATAGATTGACAAGACAAGGCCCTGACAAGGCGTATTTAGCAAGCTACTCGGAATGGCACTCCGGCAAGGGGTGACAATGACCTCGGCTAGGAAGGACAACACTTGACTAAGTTGTGCCACACCTTGGCCTAGATGTGCCACACCTCGGTCTAGGTCATACCACTCCAGGACAAGATCACTTAGGTGCAAAGGAAACATCTCGGCCTAGATGATTCACATCTCGGCCTTGGTGATGAACACTTCGGCCTAGATAATACACATCTCGGCCTTGGTGATGAACACCTCGGCCTAGATAATGACATCTCGGCCAATATGTCAAGACGAAGGTGGAGGTCAAACAAAGTGGTTCCAAGGAAGTTCTAGACTAAAGATGACCTCGGCTGAACTCACACCAAGCAAGGTACAAAACATGCGAGAAACACTCAAGCAAGACGAATCAAGGTTTGCAAAGATGCAACATATCAAGACAAGATCAGTAATATATACAAGCATGAGTAGGGTAGAGTGAGGGTTGTTACAGGCATATAGGATATATGTGTAGCCCGGAAGTGAAGGGCTGAAGTAGTGGAGTTAAGATACAAATAATTAAATATGATTTTTATTGTTATAGTGTGAATTGTATTGATTTGTACATCTTGAAAAATAATAAACGACCTTGATAAATTATGAAATTTGGACAGAGGCATGTATACGTAATTTTAGATAATTTTTGTATTTTAACTTTGTACTAGAAAGATTGATTAGAACTTATAATTAGATGATCTTTGTTTTAATAGTTTTTATTTATTTTAGTATTGTAAATTTTAGATGCTGTTTTAACCCATGAAACGAGTTCATTTTTATTGATTTCGCGTAAACTGAAGTAAAAACTATTCTGAATAATTTTTGTGTTTTGAACGTTTCCGAAAAAAATCATCTTACAGCAATATCTTTTTGTTTTCAGTTTCAGTTTTTTTGATCGAATTTCGTTTAGGATTTTCTATTAAGTTTTTCTTTTAACCTGTTCAATTTCTACTAAATTCGTCCACGAAACCTTCTATAAAATTTGATTATGTACAACTTTTGTTCTTTGAGTTTTGGTCAATTATAATTATTTAAGTATAAAACGGTACATTTTTATACTTTTTTAATAAGTTACTTATGATTAAATTATATTAACTTTATTTTTTGTCGGATAGTGGGTCTTACTAACTTTTATGTAGGGTTGACTCACTATATTTTTATTTTTGTTTTGTTTATTTTATTCTCAATTTATATTTCGTTGTGTACGGACGAGAAGCTAAATGCCACCGTATTTCGAAAGCCACCCATTCGCCTCGGTGTAGATGGAACTACTTGTCTTGTCCTGTAACAAGGCTTAGATGTATTTTTGCTTATGTCTGGTGGAAATGTGGGTGTCAAATATTTGTACTCATACCAATATACTTGTATACTGACCCGTTTTGTCTCTTGGCATCTCGAGTGCGTTCTATTTGAGCGCAACCGAACTTCCTTTGTAGAATTAGTTGAGACTATGGTGGTGACAATAAATAACTATGATCTTAGGACATGTCTTTTGGACTTCTTTTGATTTTCTTAAGCTTATGGTTGATTTTAATTTATGTATTTATTATTTTTTATGACCTTAGTATTTTTGACAATTTGATATTATGGGTTATTTTTTAACGTTACATTATTTAAGTTGTTTTGACTAGTTGTTGCTACTTTAATGTTGAAGGTATTGGATAGTTATGAATCTTTGATGAATAGTTTGGTTGGCGTTTATTAATTATTTTTTTTTAATCCCTTGTTATCTTTTGAGCATAGAAATTTACTTAACAACCATGCTAGAGACACCCAGTGGGGGATGACCCCCAGCACCTCCACCTCCGCCTCCACCTCCAAGTGGGAGGCTGTGAGACCAAGAGTGAAAATAATAATAATAATAATAATTTGAACCAATCACAAAACAGTGGTGGTGGTAGGGTCACCCCCACTGAGGTCTGGGCCATTTTCCTTTACTTAAACCTTATGGAGACGAGAACGTTTAGATTTTGTTTCACCTCTAAAATTTGTATGATGAAATATTGATTGGGGTTTAGTCCTAATTTAATATTTAATTGTTCAAATTTTAAGACGTGATAATATGTCTTTCTTACCAAATAAGATTATTACTGAAATACCCTGGGCTGTAGCGTAGATGGCTTGGGAAGAGCCTCAAGGTGCTGCTTCGCAATAAATTGGCATGGGTTTAACTCTCCGTTACTGTATGAGTTGATTTAAATGAAATTTATATTGAAGAATTGATGTAAACTCTCAAATTATAGTCTCTCATTTAGAGTAGATAACATGACATCTTGAAAATCTCGTCATGAACACTGCCTTGAACTTGCTGAAAGAATATGAGGATTTTCTATATAAAAAAAAAAAAAATACCGAACACATAACACCTCTTAACTTTGATTTACGGACAAAATTTTCGCAAATTTATTTATTTTCACTCAAATTAGAAACCACAATCAAATTATTTTAAATTTCTCATAAATTAGGACCAAACCGACTGTAAAAAAAGTGTCGTTGGTTTTCGCGAAGCAACAAACAATGATAGCAGAGATCGCCACCAAATTCCACTCCCTCACAAGAAAGTGACTACATATCTTCGGCACCACACTCCACTCATAAGCGTTTATTCTTTTCTTCTTCCTCGATCACACAGGATACACACACATATATATATATATAGAGAGAGAGAGAGAGATCAGATCTGGTGAAGCAGAGATTGAAGAATGAAAGGCTTCACCAACAATGGAGATTTCATAAAATCATCAACATTCCTAAAGATCTCAGGTTTCATTTTCATATCACTCGCTTTCTTCTATTTGGGCAAGCACTGGTCCGATGGTTCTCACCAACTCATCTTCTTCAACTCTCGCCAAAACCCTCTCTCCTCTTCCAAAACCCCTTCCCCCATCTCTCTCTCCCCCAATTTCAACAAAACCTTCGATCTCAACTCCCTCATCAACAACACTACCCAAACCCAACCCCTCTCCGATCCAACCCTACCTTCAATTCCACCGACATCCCTTCCAAAACCACTTCCTCCTCCTCCTCCTCCTCCGCCGCCGCCGCCGCTCGAGAGGTTCGGGATCGTGGACGAAAACGGAACGATGGCGGATGATTTTGAGGTCGGAGACTTCGATCCGGGTGTTGTGGATAATTGGGGGAGTGATATCGAAGCGGAGGTGGTGGAAGATGGTGGTGGTGGGTCTAGGGTTGTTGTTAAGAAGTTTGGGCTTTGTACGAAGAGTATGAGGGAGTATATACCGTGTTTGGACAATACAGAGGCGATTCGGCGTTTGAATTCGACGGATAAAGGTGAGAGATTCGAGCGGCATTGTCCCGAAGAAGGTAAGGGCTTGAATTGCTTGGTTCCGGCACCTAAGGGTTACAGAGCCCCAATTCCCTGGCCCAGAAGTCGTGATGAGGTATAATTGTTTTGATGTTTATTCAATTTGATATGATACTACTGAACAATTTGATATGCTATTTAGGTTGCTTTGTGAATGAAATGCAAATTAATTGTCAAATTCTTAAAAATTTGGTTAATTGTCTGATTGGGTACTGAATTATTTATTAGGAAGTTATACCCATTACACTCTAATGCAGGTATGGTTCAGCAATGTTCCCCATGCCCGTCTTGTTGAAGATAAAGGGGGCCAAAATTGGATTTCCATAGATAAGGATAAATTCAAGTTTCCTGGAGGTGGTACGCAGTTCATACACGGGGCAGATCAGTATTTGGATCAGATTTCACAGGTTGTTAAGTTATAACTTTGCCACTTGGATGATAGTAAAATTAATATATCAGTCTGATATTCGAGGAAATTGTCTTTCTGATTATCATTTTCTTGTTTTTATGTATAGATGATCCCTGACATAGCATTTGGTCATCATACTCGAGTTGTTATGGATGTTGGTTGTGGTGTTGCAAGTTTCGGTGCGTATTTATTATCACGGAATGTACTTACTATGTCTGTAGCCCCAAAGGATGTGCACGAGAATCAGATTCAGTTTGCACTTGAGCGTGGAGTGCCTGCAATGGTGGCAGCTTTTGCAACACACCGTTTGTTGTATCCAAGTCAAGCTTTCGACTTGATACATTGTTCGAGATGTAGAATTAATTGGACTCGGGATGGTATGCTATTCTCTCTGATAATTTAATTTATTGACCCTGTTTGGTAAAGCTGTGGGAAAGTGCTTATAACTCATGCCTTAACAGCTTATAACTTATAACTATGAACATAAGCTGATTTCTGACTTATAAATTAAGTATCTCCTGCCCCACTCAAAGAATAAGCTGATTTCTAACTTATAAAAAGTTATAAGCTGTATTGTTAAGCTAAACCAAAATTGGACTCGGGATGGTATGCTATTCTCTCTGATAATTTAATTTATTGACCCTGTTTGGTAAAGCTGTGGGAAAGTGCTTATAACTCATGCCTTAACAGCTTATAACTTATAACTATGAACATAAGCTGATTTCTGACTTATAAATTAAGTATCTCCTGTCCCACTCAAAGAATAAGCTGATTTCTAACTTACAAAAAGTTATAAGTTGTATTGTTAAGCTAAACCAAACACATCAAAATAGCTTAAATTAAGCTGAAAGCTGAAATAAGTAGCTTTTAAACTGCACCAAACAGGCACATTATCTTTGTTGGGTAGAAAATGATTTAGTGAACAACTAATTAGGCATCAGAGTATATATTGGAAGTGTTGCACCTCCTATTGCTTCCTTGCAGAATTTCTATCAAAGGTTAAATAAAATTTTCATGCCAAATATGTTTCTCATTAACTTGTTGTATTGTTGATATGGGTAATGGAGCCACCACCTGCATAAAGATTGATGACTGTCAGTCTCAAACTGGCAAGTGAATGTCTGATATGAGATCCCAATTCTCTATGTTCCATCAGTTCTTCCCTGAAGTGGATCATTGATCGCCGTGGGATTTCCATACCTTCAAACTTTTAGTTGAAAAAATTATAACCATCGAATAGGTTTTTATGCTAAGAAATGTAGTTTATGACAATTTTCATTTATTGTCGACACTCTGATTCCATGTATTTGTTAGTTGTTGACTGTAATGAAAGTTCCACCAGGTTTTGTTTTGACATGTGAAGAGCTTTGCCTTGACAATCACTTAGGCCAAGTTTGGCATGTGCCCAAAAAGCTAAAAAGTCAAAAAGTTACTCAAAAAGTTAAAAAGTTATCATTATTCATCAAAAGTCAAAAAGTACGGTTGCACAACTCCTAATCCTAATTTTTCCCTGTACACTAATTTATAATACACATTTTTCCATAAAAAGTCAAAAAGTTAACCCAAAAAATCATATTTTTTTTCTCAACTTTTTAGTCCAAAAAGTCAAAAAATGCACTTATTTAGGACATCCCAAACAACCCCTTAGTATATGTATGTGTGTATATGTATTGTGTTGTAGCCTAATTCCTCATTTCACACTTCCAATTGATAAGAGATAAAGTAGTTTAAAAGGCAATTAAACATTTTTATTTACCATATGATTCATATCTGCAAGTTTATGAGGCCAATGTGTAATCATTCTTGTTATGCATTATAATTTATAATCTAGTTGTTCCATGTCGTCTATCCTCACTATTTTCCATGTGGCATATCATTATCATTGTGGAAATCTCTTATTTGGAAATAGTAGTAGATATTATATGGGAAAATTGTTGATGTTCATTTGTGGGACATATTCTTATCATGCCTCTGTTTGTTTCTTTCATTGTGGCAAAGACGGAATTTTGCTGCTCGAGGTCAACAGGATGCTACGTGCAGGAGGATACTTTGCTTGGGCAGCACAGCCTGTTTATAAGCATGAATTAGCCCTTGAAGAGCAGTGGGAAGGTATGACTAAGCAGAATTTGTTTATGAAATAAGATGAACAGTTATTTTCACTTTGGTGAGTCGATAAGCAATTTTGAGTTTGAGTTTTGAATGTTTGCACATCTTTCTGTTATACCCTTATATGAAAAATTGTGCACCTTAGTTTGCATTTGATCTCCCTGTTGAATCCCAATTGCTTACAGAGTGACTTCTGCAATTGTTTATAACTTAGAAAAAATTAAGGAATCTGAATTTGGTAACTACCCCAGCTTGGAGAGCAAAAAATTTGCAAACTGGTTATGGGACTTAGATAAAATGGCAGGGAAAGGTCCTAAAGCATGTAATATGTTAGTTCATCGGGGTGCCCCATAATTTGTTTAATGAAGGTCAATCTTCCAGTGCACCCAAATGAAGTGTTTCCATTGCATTTTATTGGTGGTCTAAATAGGAGTAACATGTGCAGCACATCAGACAAGAAGTTCAGTTTACTGATCGTTTGTCTTCCTTCATCTTCAGAGATGATTAATCTTACAAGCCGCCTTTGTTGGAATCTTGTGAAAAAGGAGGGGTATATTGCAATTTGGCAGAAGCCCTTGAACAACAGTTGCTACTTAAGTCGTGAGGCAGGAACGCGACCTCTGCTGTGTGATTTAGATGATGATCCAGACAGTGTTTGGTATATTAACTATCCTCGTTCTGGTATATTTTGGTGATGCAAATAGTACATTAAACTGCCTTGAATGGTTAAAGTTTTAGATCTCTATTTGACAACTGCTATGTCTGTAAGGCTTCTAAAGCATATTCAGTAGTATGACATGTTAACTTCATGCATTGTAGGCCTACAGCTACTGTAATTTATGTGTAACCATTGACATGAAATATTGACAAGCTTTATGTTTAGACCATCAGCAGTAAAAAATGGGACTGTAAACCCTATTAACTTTAAGCACTTGGCCTAGTAATGACATGTACCCTAGTAATGACTATAAAGCCTAGTAATGACATGGTTCCCTGTGACTTTTTCTCATCCTGCCTTATCTTTTACTGAGTTGACACTTCAAACCCAGCTTTTCATGGACAAGGAATGGTTCTAATTTCTACTGATAAATATAAAGTGGAATGGGTTGTGGTAAAAAGGCTGCTTTTGGACCCAAGTGTGGGTGGATGGACTAATGCTAAACTTGTATCTTCTGTGATTGATCTTAATTATACAATTTCCATGCCTATCCGAAGAGGAATGGGTTATAAATGGTTTTGATTTTGAAATTTTTTTTTAATTAATTGTTGATGAAACTATTATGACTAGGCGTGCATATTTGAAATGCAACTTGGTGTTTGTTTGTACATTCTGATACACAACTATGTTTGGAGAATGGGAAGAAAAAAAAGAAAGAGAAAAAATGGAAATAAGTGGTAGTACATAAGAAAAGCATTGTAACTAAAATGTACCATTTTAAGGCTCATAATGTCATTGAAATTGCCTGTATGCGATATATTCGGGGCTGTCATGCTATTGTATAAGAAGATCCCTAATATAATAGTGCAAAACTCTGCTTCCTCTTTAGCAAGTGAAGGTTATTCTGTTGATTATTGATTCGATTTGAGTGAACTTATGTGATATTTCACTGAGAAATTTTGTTCCAGTTCTTTAAAAAAAATCTTATCTCAAAGGCTTCTTTTTTAATTATTTATTATTATGATAGAATCTCGCTGTGTTGGATTATGGGATCTAGCAACATTATGATTCTGAATACAGTTCTTCATGTTATATTATTTTATTTCATAGGGGAATTATAATATGGCAAAATACAAATAATTTAGGTAGCTATGCATAATGCAAACCCAAGTCCCTGAAGAAAATTATGCATGTGTAGTGTCTACAGGAATTTTTATGAAGTTTAATGCCACACAGCCAGGTTAAATTATTAGTCGATGCGTTCTGACTTTATAATGCTTAGTGATCTATCAAAATATTGGTTGAATCTATATTTGCTTTATAATGTTTAGTGGTCGACCAAACATATCGGTTTGACTCTACATTTGCATTGTCATGCTGTTTATTGAGGGCCTTTTGAATCACTCATAATTTACTAATATCCATTGCATTATTAATTTAGGTATGTTGAGCTGAAGGCATGTATTAGTAGACTACCCGAGGATGGGGCCGGAGCAAATGTTACCACATGGCCTTCACGCCTTCAAAATCCTCCTGACAGGTTGCAGAGCATACAAATGGATGCATACATATCCAGAAGAGAACTCTTTCGGGCAGAATCAAAATACTGGAATGAAATAATAGAAAGTTATGTTCGTGCTTTACATTGGAAAAAGTTCAAACTTAGAAATGTGCTGGACATGAGAGCAGGTTTTGGCGGGTATTACATTTCATCTTCCTTTTGTTCTTCTTTCCTCGTTATATTGAACTAGTTATCCATACCATGCCAAGCATTCAGTAACATTATGCTTATGCCTAGATTTTAAAGTGAAAATTGCTTATTTTTTGTGGTCAATTTATTGGTTTTGGCAGATTTGCAGCAGCATTGATCGAAAATAAACTTGATTGCTGGGTTCTAAATGTGGTTCCCGTTAGTGGTCCAAACACCTTGCCTGTTATCTATGATCGTGGGCTTCTAGGAGTTATGCATGATTGGTACAAATTAGACTTCATTCTTTCCCCAATTTCTTAATTGTTGTCTGTACTTTATCTGTTGCTCTAGTAGGAAAGAAAAATAGAAACATGGAAAGAAAATTATATATATTTGTTATTCTTTCATAATTTATTGGCCCCTCGTATTAACATTTCCAGGTGTGAGCCATTTGACACGTACCCAAGAAGCTATGATTTATTGCATGCAGCTGGCCTCTTCTCTGTTGAACGAAGACGGTACTCTCTACTCGCCCGTTAATATTCACTAAGCAGACAGTGCTCATATCTCAGTTTTTTTGTTCTCTGCCGGTGATACATTTAAGATTCCATAATCATTTGGTATATCACATTTACGTGCTTGATTTACTTCTATCAGATGCAATATCTCTAGCATCATGCTTGAAATGGATCGAATGCTAAGACCTGGTGGACGTGTATACATTCGTGATTCTCTTTCCGTCATGGATGAACTCCAAGAAAGTGGGAAGGCCATGGGTTGGCACGTGGCATTGCGGGACACAGGTGAGGGCCCACATGCAAGTTATAGGATCCTGACATGTGATAAACGATTGTTGCGTGCTTGAAGGAACGAGATGTACAACCAAATTGAATTATGCCATCTCTTGTATATGGTGAAATGGAGATCAAGAAATCTGAAACTAATCTCTCTCTGACACTTGATTGTCATTGAGATTGAGGGGAGAGAATGCTCACTGAAATCCGCTGAAATCTGGCAACTTGGACGGTGGATGTGACAAATTTTTTCAACCAATTAAGCATAATGTGGCAGTTCTTCGTGTATAGTATAGTATGGCATAGTTCATTATGTAGTCAGTCAACTACCAGTAAGTACAATAATACATGCGGCTGTTTTGAGTTCTATCATTTTTTTTAATTTTTTATTTAATCGAATTGAGCAGAAAATACGTGCAAACAGTCAGTATTTTTTTTATTTTTTATTACTTGTATTCTTAACAATCATTTATCCAAATATCGGCCTCATGCTCTCTTTGGATTATGTCGCATTGTGATTATTGGGGGCTGTCTGGTGGTTCAGTTTTCAATCAACTGTCAGTCAAAGAAAACCAATATTGATTTATAAAATTTTCCCCATTCTTGTATCAACTCACATAACCATTTGGTAACGCTATGGAACTAGAAAAATAGATCAAAAAGTTACCCAAAATGTTAGATGGTGTAGGTTTAATTTTGTATAGTGGGTAATCTCAACTCTGCAACGTTTTTTCTAATTAATTTTCAAAGTACCATGATAACAACTGTACATGTGCCACTTCTCTATGGCTTTAAGTAGTAATTTTGGTTATAAACATTATCCAACACACATGATATGTGATCAACCTGCTAGTGCTTTAATAAAATAAAGAATAAAACAATGTATTCAAGAAACAGTGCATGCAAATATTTTATTCAAGAAGCAATGCAAGTGGAAAAACGGCTACTGCACATATGAACTAAAGAATAAAACAACTTATCACAATATGATCACATATCCTTAACAGGAATATAAATACACTGAACTGCTTTATCATTCTGTAAATTAGTTTTTTAAAACGAAGATCATCTATACAGGATTAGAAAGGTAAAACAGTAACCAACGAAGTATATAAACGGAAATTTCTGTCTTAAAATCGTAGGAAAACTTTCTCTCCGAGTATATGTAATTTACAGAATATTAAACACAGATATAACATACAAACAGAATTATACACAGAAACAGATCAAGTAGTTTTTCCCTTAACAGAATAACAAATAAAATACAGAACTTACAACTTTCTTGAAAAATCAAACTAAGAACAAATTTGTGATTGAGGCCAGTGTATGGACACTGTGTCTTTAAGACAGAAATTCGTCCTCTCCTAGGTGCTCGAGAATGATAGACGTCCTGCCTCCAGGATTCAACAATCACCCCAAACAAATGCAGCACTGCAACCTTGTTTGTACAGCGAACCAGAATGTTTTATTTTCTGAACTCACAAGATGCAAAAATGAAGAATGAATGAAGCAGAGATCGGAGAAGACTGATTACGGATGGGAAAAAAAACATCCAACATCTTGGAATGGAGGATTGCTATAAATAACGGCAGTGAAGTGCCATTTCCGGAACAGACAAAAACGTTTTGAAGAACAGTCGCGACTGGTCGGAATTTGAGAAGGATCATAACCGAAAATTTTGAATTCAAAATTTCGGTATTTGTATTTTTCCCGCAGAATTTATTTGAAACATTTCAAATAATTTTGGAGCAAAAACAAAGGACGGGTTAAACCCACACCCGCACCGATCCGACGGACGGCGGCGGCGCGCGCGTGTGGTGATGGTTTTGGGTTTGTCCATAACTCCTCCTCCTACAAAACTTGGGTACCCCTTGGGGCCCAACCCAAGGTCTCCAACTTAGAGCTTATAAACACTTTGAAACTATTCTAAGTTTCCTATGTGGGACAAGGTTTTAGATACCAACTCAAGGGAACCACACAAAACATTTCATGTTTATGAGGCTCACTACGGTATCAATTTCTCATTCACTCGTAAATGGTTTCGACCACCTGAGTATATATTCTTGTTCACCACATGGCAAGGAACGTGTTGCCACTCGGACCCATCCAAATCGAGGTATGGGACCTATATTAATAAAAGCTCAAATTTACCGGAAATTAATGGTGAAATCCATTTCTCTAACAGATCCAACCTCGAGAAAACCCAAGCTTGCCCAGTGCCACAAATTCATGTACACAACATTATATATGCATAGGCGGCAAGAAAGGATGTGATTAAGAAAGGACATGATTACTTTTCAACAAAGAACATCACTTTCAATAAAACCAACAAGAGGTACGTACAAGTCATTGGATCAAAGACTTGTTGAATTATACAACTTCAATATTTGCTTGAACATGTACATAAAAATATCAAGTTGTGTGTTTGTACACGTTCATGTATTTCTATTTTTCAGGATGCAGCTTTGACCTCTTGACAGTCACGGCTTACAAACCTCACAAGACATCAAGATTCAATTATATATCATGAAATGTTATAGAAGCTCAGCACACTAGTATCCCAAAATCAAAATAACAGCAACTGTGAAAAACGTAAGTTTTTTTCTATCATAGCAAGCCAAAAAGCTCATTAGACACTGTTTACCAATCAGATCTTGGTCTCCAGGCTCGCTGGCCTTGGCTGTTTGACGCATTACTAACCATTCTTTGCGTGGTCACATTACTGGGACGCCTATCAATCCTCATGTTCTGAAACTGATGGAGCACTTGTGAGGGTGAGTGAACTGCCCTGTGCATCTGAGGACGCGGCCTACTGTAGCTAGCGTTGTAGCCACTAGCGTTATTAGGTGTTCTCCAAATAGATTGTGATACGTGTGGTCTGACTAGTGTCGGAATGAGAGAACTGTGACTCTGATTGCGCGAGGTAAGTGCATAGTGGGTTCCCTGAAATGCTTCTGATATCCTCGTTAGATGTCTAATGCTAACAGTCCTAGCCGTGTTAACTGGTTGCTCAAAAGGGTCCTCAACCTAAACAGCCATTAGCAATAAAATTAGCTCCACTAGTGGAAAAAAGCCAAGTCGTAGTTGCAGCTGTAGTGGAGAGAGAGAGAGAGAGATTACAAATAGTGCATAAGTTTTGGGCAGCCATCTCATATTGGCATCAATTTGTTCCCATTGTCCAGTATATGGGCAGATTCCTTTTTCTGAGGCCCTCGAACTAATGTCAGCAAACTGCAAAATATATATATATATATATTTATTACCCAATCTATCGAAAATTAATAAACAGTCTATTTACATGTTCGACAATTCCTCATAGCCATCCCATCCATAGAATGGGGAAAAGCCCTCCCTTTTGGGTCAGAATAAATTTTATGAATCAAATATTAGAAAGAAAAAAACATTTATTGTATTTTATACACAATATCATTCAGGTCAAAATACCCAAAAATAAAATAAAAGAAAGAAAATGTAACAAACATATACAAGGTGCTAGGAGTGCTAGGACGGATTCAGGATTATCACTATGGGGGTGCGAAAATATGTTTGGGTGTGCAAATCCTTATAATTTTTAATTATTTTAAAGTTTCTAATATAATAAGTGACATTTTTCAAATTTTAGAGGTGTGTTCCCCCCCCCCCCCCCGTCCCCCCCTCCCCCTAGATCCATCGTTGGTGCTGATCTCATACATATAAATTCACTTGTAAAGGAAAGAATTATGAAAGAACTACTTACTTTTTTGAGGAATGAAATGAAAAGCTCAGATAAAGAACTTCTATTTATTTTTCTGGACTTATCCGATCTAAACTTGTTTATATTCTCAGCACATATTTCTTCAATATGTCTCTCTGCAACAGCCCTCACACCTGCAATAGAACATATATGACAAATTATTAATTATTAACCAAGTTACCAAGCTGTTATGAAGATTTGGCAACTGTGGCTTTCATATTCACGAGTTATGCAACCATGGAATTCAATCTTCTTTGGTCAAATACTATTCCCATTTTGCATCTCTTGATTCTCAAACCTACTAGAATGGGTCAACATGCAAAAAGTTTCCTCAGATCACTTTCATTTTCTTAGAATCTTTCAAGTTTTCGACATCAACTCATGTAAGACCAAAACCCTGCTTGTAGAATATTTCTGACAGAATTCATAAGTTGTGGAAAATTGAAGCCTCAAACATGCACTTACACTAGTACCAGGACCACACTGTTTTTGTTAAGAAGTACCAACAGAGAGAGACAGCCCTCTATTGGACCTTAAAACACAATAATAATTTTTTTAGAATCTAATGCAGTCTTCATGTAATGGAAAGATAATAAATCATTCTTTTGGCACTTTGACTTCCAACTTCACAAGGAAATTTTAAATATTTTCTTTTATTGATAGGTTTCAACTCAGTATCTAAACTAATTATAGATAAAAATGCCTAAAGATATGTCGTGTTGCCTGTATCTTTATTAATTTCAGAAGAATGTAATGAAAAAAAAAAAAGGGCCAAGAGAGAGGACAAGTACCTATCAGGTCATCAACTATATTTCCTGGGTAGATTTCTTTAAGAGGAGGTAAAAGTGGAGGTACACATGTCTGCAAGAGAAGAAAAAGATGAAGCACAGAGAAAAAAGGTGGAGATCTTGGTTGCTCCAAATCAGAACTAAAAAATGGATAATTAAAAGACATAAAAGGATATAAATATAATGGAGAAAACAGACACAGAGGATGCGATTGAATTAAGCTAAAAATTTATAGTTACAAAGTGACACAAATATAGGGCACACTATGATCACTGGGACACAAATAATACTTCAAGATCACCTTAAAAACAGGACTATACAATTTGATGGGTTGGTTCACTATGTTCTCCTGTACATAAGTTTTACAGGTTGTAGGATTTACTTTCAGCAAATGAGTCAACTTCCGAGATCTTAGAATATTTCCAGTCGATTAAGTGTTAAAGAAGAATCCTCAATTTACTTTCAATTAAAAATATATAACAACAAAGCAATAGCAATAACAAGAAGAAATCAACAACCATAATTATAGGCAAAATCACCTGAAAATGGAAAATAATAAGCATGCTGAGACAGTATGAATTTAAAGTTCCTGACTTTGAATCATTGATACCATGTGTTTTGGCCCATTCCTTGACCTGCATGCAAAAATTGATACATCAAATTAGTGCATAGTTTCCTGACAGCATCACCATCTATTAATTTGTTATAAGAACGTGCCAATAAAACCATATTACGGAAACGCCCATCAATCTCATTGATCCAAAACAATAATTTGGACTTCATTTGACCATTCAGACTATTGATTGAGACATCACAGGAGATGTTCAGGTAGTTGCTCTCGAACTTTAGAATGGGAACTCTTGCATTGGCGATAAACTGCAATTTATACCATCCACCTACAAAACAATGCTATTATTAAATAAAAAGGAGCACTTCAATAAAGAACAATAAACAAAAGACCATGCCATAAAAATGTGCTTATATTATGCTTCTATTTGCTGATGGCACCTTTTTTTACTTTCAAAGGTGATGTTAGTAAATGAAAAATGGAGCCCCAAGTCCTACAAACTATAAATGATTAGTAAGATGTGAGTTTACACCATCTAGGAAGTATATTTCATTTTGTATCTTATTGCACTTGAAGGAAAGAACTCAAATTTTAAATGGACAGAGCAAGCAAGACCACAAACACACAGAATGATCTCCTAAGATAGTTTTATACATACAAGAAACTTATCCATTCTGATTGCTACATAAACCATTGTCTCTTTCGTTTGATTGATGCCCCCAGTGGCTGGCTCCGGGCATTTGTTTTCTCGAGTGATCTGTGTTGTGCACTTCATATTGTTTTTATTTTCCATGAAGTTCTTTACGTTTTCTTCGCTTTTAGTTTTAGTGTTCTATCATCCTCCCTATTTTTAAAGCTATTTTACTTATTAATTTCATTGTTTCCAGGATCAAGAACAGCTCATCCTTCTTAATTAGCAACGATTTATCTTCAAAAGTGGTTCAGGTAACAAACAAAAGAAGCAATAATGACTAGTTACGTAGAATGCACTAAAACTTTCAATGCATGTAGAGGTCTTGTGACATGCAAAAGAGTAAAAAATTGGAAGTATTAAGTTAAATCAAATTACCTCTCCTCCTTAAAGCTTTTTGTAAATCTCCTAGTAAAGTCTGCTTGAGTTTCTTTCCGGCAGATGAAATAAATGAACCATTGGGTAACTCTATTGATAGATCAAGATCTCCCCACCGTGTAAAGAGATTAGAGACAAATGATCCATATGGCTCCACAGTTGCTCCTATTTGCACCATTCATCATTAATAAACATTGTCAACTATAAATCATATAACCAACATTGTCGGCTATAAATCATATAACCAATGCACACTATAAATCATATATCCTAGATAGAATCCTAGGGACCAACAAATCAAGCTACCCCTCACGGGTAAAGTAAGAATTTAGTAAACAACTACTTTAATAATAGTCAAGCGACATAAGACACACTAACACGTTTTTTCTGTTCTAACATTTCTTGCATGTTTTAGTTTTGTATCGCATATAAAAAAAGCCCATTTTTTTTATACATGTCTAGGATCATTGAAGTTTTTTCATGAGATGAAATGGTTTCATTTTTCAAAATCACTATGGCCAGCTGCAGGTGATGGTTCTCTGGCTTGAATGCTTTAGGAAACCAAATGCACTTAAATTACCATTGCATCTTATATGCAAATCAAGAAAGATTGCAAAAGAAGACGGTGAGTTTTTCAGCTATTACTATGCATGCACAACTGGATTCAAAGAAAGAAACAACAATATATTTTAGCGCATAACTGGATTAAAAGAATGAAATATTAATATAATTTAGCATCAAGTACCTCTAAGACTTTCCACAGATTCAACAACAGCTCGAAGCTCATTAATAAATTGAAATCGTTTTGCCCAGTCTTCTTCTAAGGGACTGATCACACGAAGAATATCCCTGAGAGTGAGCTCCAATGTACTGTAGTCGTTCATTTTTTAGCACTAAATAACATTGAAAACGGCTGATGTAGATGAGCATTCAAAAACTAAGGCATAAGGATGGCCATCCACACTGATCAGAGAGATACACACTGTGGAAGCAGTGAATCATACCAAGAAAATCTGATTGACTACCTATTCTGGGAAATTGAATGTACTATAGGAAATAAATCTTGGAATGATCTACGAAAGCAAAGCCTCAAACACCCTTTGGAATAGCAGCCATGACCTGAAAGTTGAAGGAAATATGAAGACATGTCAATGCATAAATAAATTCCATCCATTACTTATGAGAAAGAGAAGGTATATCCACTCGGCTTTTTTTTTTTTTTTTAAACCTTAAACTTGTTGGTGTGCTCAAAATTTTCTTGTCAAAATAAATGAGTGTTTGACTGTATAGACATGAACAGAAAATGAAAAATGAATGTTACATAATGTGAACAACTATAAGAACAACTATCAGTTTCTGTTACTTCAAAAGCTTCAAAATCAATTCAGTAAATCATAAAGAAAAAGTAACCCAACATAAAAAATACTACACCCTTGATATGTCTTTTTTTCTTTTCTTTTCCTTAGAAACTAAGATTGCTCCAACCCAATCCATCCTTTTACCACATGAGCCAGACCAGAGGCTCAATATCTAAGAAGCACGGATACTTTTTATTTATTTATTTATTTATTTATTTATACTTTTTTTCTTAAATATCCTTTGCTTTTCCTTCTTTTTTTGGTCAACTTATTGGATGAGTATTAATTAGCATCAAGAAACAAGATATATAATGAGGCTCAAACAAAAAAAGCAAGAGGCAGACAAATCGTAGCCACAATGAACAACTATACAGATCATAGTCCTAATCAACTATACGGTAAAAACAAAAAATCCATAATCTAAAAAGAAGAGACATTAAGCCAATTGATATTGAAAGAATTTAGGGATGCACCTTTATATCACTTTCCATAGAAAGAGGATGAGTACCTCAAGAAAGTGATTGACGAATTCGAGGCAAGCCCGAAAGTAGAATCAGTATTGAGAATGAAATGTTGAAATTTCGAAACCGGATATGTGTTCCAAATACAGAACTAAAGAAGAGGGTTTTAGATGAAGC